GTATTGAAATTAATGCCACAAACATATTATATGTAAATTTAGCAATATAAATGCAATTATTAGCAATGAAATGAATTGTTGATAACATCATTTAAATTATGTGATCGGTTAAGATAGCATATTGTAGCTTCAAATGTATTAATGTTTGGAAAATATTCCATAATATTATATTTTTATTCTTTATTGGCTTAACGATAGTGAAAGCCTATCAATAGATTTGATAATATTTTATTTTGTAAATCGATAGTTACACAATTAGTGCACTGTTAATTAAAGACAATTGAGGTTGTTCATGATATGAAGACCTATTTGGTTGCTAAGGTTTTCCTATTTTTAAAGAATAAATTTCATTTAAAAATTGCAACAAGTTGATATAATAATAGCACAATACAATGCAAAAGTAGCATGTTCTATATACTAATATGATCACTCTCGTGTTCAACAAGATAAAATTAGTAAGTAAAATATCACAAAATTTTCTGAAATGATCCACATATACATCTCAATATTTGTATTATAATATTATTTTTATTTTGCCCTAATTTTCTTATTTTTAAATATAAAGTTTGTCTAAAATGATAACTTGCAACAAGTTACCCTGTTGGGGTCCATCATTATCCTTTTGGGATCTTGTAGTCTGTAATTTTTGCACTTTTGTGCTTTTAATAGAGCATCTATCGTTCCGAAAAAAAAAAAAAAGATAACTTGCAACAAGTTGACATAAGATTAGCACAATACAATGCAACAGGAAGCATATTCTATATACTAATAGCACCACTCTCAAATTATTGATCAACCAAAAATTACTACAAATAGAAATTAACAATATATTATGAAATGATGAACCTGTACTACACATGACCGTCAAAGGAAGCACTAACTATTTTTAAAACAAACAATGAAGTTTAGGGAAATGCTACCATCCCGTTACGGTACCATCCCGTCGGATGTTTTAACCGTTGGATCATCGATCTTATCTAACTACACGTAGATCTAACGGTTAAAACAACCGACGGGATGTACCGTAACGGGACCGTAGCATCTTCCTCAAGTTTAATATTGTTATTTCTAAGCATTCATTCAAAAGGAAAATAAAAATAAAAAAATTAAGCTTCAAACAGCAATGAAAAATGATTGAATTTTGCCATATTGTTTTGCTTGATTCATAGAGGTGCCTTCTATGTGACTGTTCATTTTCCTTAAAATCGGGATTTTTTTATAATGCAAAGGATTCTAGAAAGTACTATTGTTCCTAATTTACCCTGCTGCTATTAACAAATTGATTTTGTAAGTTTGTTGCTATTATAATTTTAACATATCCACACCGTTAAACAGACTACAATGAATGGTTGATATTGATTCCTAGTTCTCACACAGTCACACTAATAAAGGTTCTTATTAGAACCCTACCCTTAATATATATATAGTTTAATTTTTTTAAAAAAATAATTAAAATTTATATAGGAGCCGTGTCAATCGAGTTGAAGCCGAGTCATGCCCCGGGCCGACCGGGTCAAGGTCGGGTTGGCCGGGTTTTGACCGGGGCTCTTGTTACCCAGTCAATGCTACGGGTCGACCCGCGGGCCGGTCCGGGTCTCAAAATTATGCCCGTAAATTCCTCCTATATATTAATATAGAATGCGCTGAGCTTACGTGGCTGCTTCTGGTGCTTCGGAATCCTATGTGGCAAAATTACATGCTTCGTTATTAGGCTTGGGTAGATTTTAATTTAATTCCAAACCAAAAATAATTAGGTTCGGATTACCATAAATATGTTGATTATTTATGGTCATGTTACATGTATTAATTGTATTTTAATATCATTCTTTATTATAACTATTGAATTTTATATATATTTTAAAAGTTAATAACTTTTGTATTTTTTATCAGTTTTACATATGTAATAGTACAACACCCGTGTATTACACGGGTGCTTGCTAATTTTTTTTCTTAAAATCTAAAATTAATGAGAAAAATTAGTTTGAAAATTTAAATACTTTTTATAAGAATATATATATTATTATATATTTATTATGACACTTTTTATTTGTGCAACTTACTTATGTTATATTATACTAATTTTTTTAACTTACAATATATAACTA